GGCTCGTTTATAATTCGAGCTTTAAAAATTTGTTCGTGTTCGACTCGTTTACTTAACGAACGAGCCGAACACGAGCTACTTAACGAACCGAACACGAGCTGTTCACGAACAACAAGGTTTTTTGACAGTCTGAGGTATATGTTTTTACTAATACTTATTACTGTTACACACTATTTAAAAAAAATATAAATTATATTGAAGTGAATAATATGAACATAAAAATGATATGAATTATAAAGATTGCTTGCCTGTGCATATTGAATATGATGGAGTTCATCCTTTTTTGATACTAGCCAAGGACATGAAATACCTATGCACGTATATTGGTAAATGTGTTTAATATTGAAATATCTTAACTCGTACAACTCAGATGTTGTTTTTCTGACAAATTTAAATTATTAAAATAATATATAAATGAGATATTGCACTAAATGGTAGAATGTTCCAAGTCTTCTTATAGTCATAATGAAATATTGAATTGTCAATTATTTACGCCGATTCGTTAAATTTAATGAACATGCATATTTTTTTGTTTCCTTTACTTTATTTTAAAATAGAGTATTCACTTGTTTATAGTTATTTAATTGTGCTTTAAATTAGCATTTTTGGATTCAAGCTTTTGATTAGAAGATGAGTGACTAATGGGAAAATGTGTATTGAAGACGACAGAGGTAACACAGAGAAAGACAATTTTTTTTGTTTAATTTAAATTTCAATCATTAGTGTCTCTTTCATTTTTTTGGATTATTATTAGCATTAGTTTGTGATATAATTTGTTTTTCATTGTTCGATCACCTGTTCCCATCTTAGAATTTCAAACTCCCAGGTCAAATAATGACATCAACATGCTTGTCGTGTCACTAATTATAACTTCTCTCGCAAAGAAGAGTCAAAGCCCTAACAAAAAGTTGTACATTTGCTTGAACTTGATCGGCAATTACATATTTGTTATCAGCCATTGATGTTTTCACACTTTGGTTGCATGCATTTTCATGCACACATTTGTTGCTTCGTGGAATGTACCAGTACATTTGGGATTTGTTGACTCGTGCACACATGCAAATATTTCATGATGGTTTAAAGCATAACATAGTACATGTCAACTATATAATAAATACTTTGATGTTAAATGTTTATCTAAAACTTTCTTGTTGAAACTATATGGATGCATAAGTATAATTTCAATCATACATTTTCAGGAGGATTTAGGATTAATAATGTTTAAATTTTGATATTGACGGCATAAGTATAATTGGATATATTATATGAATCTGTTTGGACATATTATTGTTGTAAGTATATGAAGGAAATCTTATCAATTAGTTATAGTAGACAATTATTGGAGTTGTCTGTGTAAATGTTCCTACTCATAAAAATGATTTTTTAACAGGTTTAGAGTATTTGTGTTTTTGATTCATAGGAAAGTTTGTTATTTAATATTTATTATACACAACGATCACGGAAGATAATTTGAGAATAAGAAAATTGAATACTTTTGCAAAGAGCTAGGTGTTTCACACAATTTTCTGTGCCTAAAACTCCGCAATAAAATGTTATAACATCAAGGAAAAATTTGACCGTGTTTATGGCTTTCTAATCAAAATTGAGCAAATATATGAAGTACCTTTTTAACAGAATTAGCAAGCATGGTGTGTTACGTTTTGAATAGAAGCAATATTTTTCATTGGTTAAATAGAATTCCTTTTGAATTACTCAATGGAAGAACACCAAATTTATTGCATCTTCATGTTTTTGGGTGTCAATATTTTGTTCCAAACAATGACAAACCAACTTAAGAAAGTTTGATGATAAAGTTGAAGTAGTATTTTGAGGGTTCTTATTGACAGGAAAATTGTTTGAAGTCTTTATTAAGAGAAACATAGTTGTAAAAGAGTCTGCACAAGTTATCTTTAATGATTCATGTAACCTTAGCCATACTAAAGAATTAAATTTAAGCGAGGTTGTCATAATTACTATTGAAAATTTAGACCTGAAGAATAAAGAGTAGCCACTTCCTAGGGAGTAAAAATGTGTTTAGGGTCTGTTGGGGATTACTTTCTATTTTTTATTTTTGTTTTTAGTTTGTTTTGCTTATTTTCTGTTTTCTATTTTCTCTTCTTAGAAAATATGTTTGGTATTGTTATGATTTATATATTTTTAAAAACAAAAAAAATTTAAAATATGTTTGGTTGAGTATTTCTTATTTTCTTAAAAAAAAAAAACTATATTTTTAATAAAACTGTTGGGTGCACGTGCGTTAGTATTAAGCTCTGCCACCCATAGCGTATACGACGTCTTCCTTGCTCCACCCAGCATGAAGCATTATGAGTGGTATGGCGGGCGGCGGGCTTCAGGAGGGGCGGCGGGCTTCAGGAGGAGCGGCGGGCTGGCAGTAGGCGACAACGGGTGGCAGGTGGGCGTCAGTTGGGTGGCGACAGGTAATGTTCCGAAAAGCGTGTTTTTAAAACAAAAAACATAATTTCTGTGTTTTTGATGTTTTTAAACTAAGTTTTATGCATTTTAAAAACAAAATAAAAAAAAAAACAAAAAAATGAATAAACAAATACTATTTTTGGGTTTGTTTTTTGTTTTTTGTTTTAAAAATAAAAAAACAGAAAACAAAAAATTGTCCCAGAAGAGGGCCTTAGTTATTCTAAAAATCAGATTATTAGAAATTCATTTGTAGGAGTTAGGACTAGAAATTCTCTAGGTGAGTAATAAGCCATACCACATTTATCTTATTGATAAAATTAGCCAGGGTAGAAGAAACATTAACAAATTTATTTTGGGTGGTAGCTGTGCAAGAGAAATTAAATCTATTTGTTATAAATAATGTTTGGGAACTAGTCACAAGACTTGTTGGTCGGAGCATTGCATGAACAAAATGTGTCTTTAAAAATAAATTGAATGAATCTCGGATTAGTTATGAGAAAGCTAAAATTAATTGCAAAAGGGTTTAACCAAATCGAAGGAATAGGTTTTAAAGAAACCTTTCGATTAGCAGCTTAACCTATGGTTGTTAAATTTTTATTCACATTTGCATGCTTGGAGGGCTTCAAATTGTAGCAGATGTATGTAAAAATTGTGTTTCTAAATGGCTTGATAGAATAGAATGTATATATTAAGCAGCCACCTAGTTTTGACAGCTCAACCTACTCTAATCATGTTTACAAACTAAAAAAGGACCCTGTATGAATTAAAGCAAGCTTTTATGGAATAATATGACAGACTTAACATATTTTTATTTTAAAATATTTTTTTTAAGGGAACTGTTGACAAGATATTGTTTATTGGAAACTCTGATTGTGATATCCTGACTGTTTAAATTTATGTTTATTGTATATTTTTTAGTGCTATAAATGACTCATTGTGTTGAGAATATTTTTCAAATGATCGGTCATTAATTTGAGATGAACTTGATGGAGGAGTTGGCCTCTACATTTAAGGTTATCAAGCAAACGAGAGAAGGAAATATTTTTATATCATCCTAATAAATATATATAGGAACTTATCAAGAAATTTGACCATGGAAGAATGTATGAGCACAAATAGCTCTATAAGTGAAAACACTACTAGTTAGAAACCCTCGTGGAATATTTGTAAATTCGAAGTATTATTAAGGTATGGTTGGATCACTACTATATCTCACAGCGAGTAGACTTGACATCATATTCAGTGCTCTTACATGCACATTTTCAAGTTATTTCAAATGAATCACATCCGATAACAATTAAATGTATTTTTAGATGTTTTTTTTTATAAATATATTTAGATGCTTGATAAGCACTAATACATTAAGACATATACTACGATTTGCACTTCAACTTCAAATTTTAGACTGTAAAATTGATAAAAAGAGCACATTAGAAACTTATCAATTCATAGTGTATTCACTAATTTCATAGTCTAGTAGAAAGTAGAATTGTATTGTTCTACCGCTATAGCTAATTACATAGTGGCAGGGATGTGTTCAAGCCTTATGTCAAAAACAACATCTTGATTTTAAAATCTTAGTGGAAGTGATGGTATAATGTTCCTCCATTGCCCATTAGGGAGATAATTTTCTTAATTTTTCTCTGTCAAAAGGAGATAAGAGTGGAACTCTATATTGGAGGACATGGGGACATAGATGTCTTTTAAAAATTTTAACTTTTTTATGCTGCTCTTTTTAATTATTTTTGCATTAATATGTTATTATGAATGCTATGATCTCAATATTACTTGTATTAGATGATGGATGGATGGTGATTCTAATTACATTTTGTTACTGAAACATACTGTGTGATAAGTAGTTGTGGAAGACAAAATCATCTACTATTTATGTCCTTGTTTTAGATCACTTCTGTGTGATTAATTTTTTCATTTATTGTTGAAAAAAAATATTCAAAAGTAATCTTATAATGCTCGTTGATTTTATTTTTTAATATATATATTTCAAAAATTAATTTTATCAATTTTAAAATCATGCACCATAGTTTAATGATATTCAATTTTTGAGATTTTATATTAGAAATTATTAGTAATATTTTTATAAGATAAAGTGATATCCAGGTGATATGTTTATCTTGGATGTATTTTATAGACGAATGAAGATATAAATGAGTATATAACTTCTATAATTAAAATTAGATGGTTAAAATAAAGAACTACGTTAGCATTATCATGCAAATAAGCCGATATCATGGAGACGTAAAATTTTTATGAAAATTAATAACGTTCATAGTGTTGCATGGGTTCTACTTGAGTATAAAAATGATCAGGGATAATTAAATTAATGATGGTTTGCAAAATTAGGAAAGATAAATGAAGAATGATATATTAGAGAATTGTTAAAGTGATATATATTTAGGATTCTTTGAAATGTGCATTTTGCATTACTATAAAATGAAAATCTCGCAATACAAGAGTACGATAAGGGTCTAACTCAACAAAACATGGGCTCGATCAAAATCAACAAAAGGAAAAGGGAAGTGTGAACTATTCACATACCTAACAAAAAAACTATCATGTATGGCTTTTTGACCACGAGTATGAGCTGCCATATTTCTCTTTCTATCTATATGATGAAATAGAACATGTCTGAATGAAGTCAGAAAAGAAAGATCCTCCATATCCTTTGGTCGCCACCTCCAGATGTCAGTAGACTTAGCTTGTTGAAGTGAAGTAATGATGTTTTTTTGTTGTCACTTTTAATGATGATACCATTAACTTCAAACATTCATGAATCCGCATAATGTTTGACGGAAGAGATCGCCTTGAGTTCAACTTAAGCACTGTCCCAATGTTTGATGGGCCTGCCAACTGCAACAATAAGATCACTTATCTCCTCTAATAGCAATGCCAATGCCGCCCATATAGGAATGAAAATAAACCATGATAGTTTAGAAGTGTAATCTAAAGGCTAGAAAATGCATCAATTCAACAATTTGGTACGATGAATGCATGAGAATTAATTGGGAGGTGTAGACCTAAGGTAATATGGATAGAAATTATTCAAAATGATTAAAAGAAGACTGGCTTTAAATCCCACATATCACTTGTCATTAACCCGGTCTGGAAGGTTTGAATACCAAGATAGAAATTGACGATCAAATATAAAATTCATTTAATTAATCATTCTCCAAATTTTGTTAAGCATAGAAATCTTTCAATATTTATAAAATAGCCAATGATATTAAAAAAAATTAAAATAATAAACATTCATGTTTAAAATATTTTTCAAATTCACAAGTTATACAAAAGAATTGTTCACATTTCCTATTTCTTTTGGCTCTCTGACGTTGTAGACAAGTTTTTTTCTATTGCTCATTTAATTTTCAAAGTGATTTATTTGAAACCGTTGTTGAATGTGTTTCTAAATTATAGTAATTTATGAATTAGAAAAATAATATAAAAGGGTAAAATAGTATATATCTATTTGTCATGAGAAGTAAAGTGCAATAATGGAAAGCGTTGTTTTCTTATTATTATTTTCATCATTTATCTTATTTTATTTTATAGTACACCGGTTTCAAAAATTACCACCTTTCAACACTTTAAAATGGACCTAAAAATTTGCAGCAGTTTTTTTCATTTTCATTTACATGCATGAGTACATTGCATCCCAACCAGTATTTGAACTCAATCATCGAAACATGCACTTGCAATCATGTATATGTATCATATTTTTTATTTTTTCATCAAAAATTTTTATTGATCATTTTTTTGTGCTTGTGAAATAGTCATGAGATTCAAAACATGAAAATTATTGAATATTATTTATTTCATATAAATCTATCATGAATAAAGAAAGATAATTTTGCCAACAATGAAAATTTGCTCAATGTATGTAAAAACATAGAAGTATCTAATTGCATTTGATGTAGAGGAATAAGAAATAATTGTTATAAGAAAGCAACGCAATCACCCATCTTACTTGGAAGGTGTCTCATTTTCTCTTCCTTCTTGGTTGTTACTTTGCTTAACGGGAGACCTCTAACACAATTATATACATAGCTAGTAATTATCAAATTATAATTTATTATTGTTATGATTATTATATGTAAAATTTTGAGTGTAATGGATTAACTGTCTTTTTCCAATTGTCTTTTTCTCTTTTAACTTAACCCAACAAAAACTATTATTATTTTTATTATCCTCAATTGCTCAGTCTAGATTAATTAATTTGTTGTCCTCAATCTCCTTGTAACCTAAATTAGCCGTTATTTTATGATTTATTTATTTATTAGTTAAAATTCATCTAAACAATATTTTTTCTACATAATTGAATTATCACTTATAATTGTAGTTTAATTAAATGACAATTGCAATCATTTATTCTCTTTTATTAGTTTAAAATTTACATTCTTATTTGTTAAAATTTGATCAAAGTTAATCTATATAGAGATCACCATTTCACATATTTTTTTTTGTATTTACAATTAATAAAATCGATCAAATCGATTTATTCTTTTTATATTAAATTTATGATTCTTTCATTATTTAAATTTTTAAATGTGACTTAATTTATATTTGATTACATCTTAATTATTATTAATTTATTTAATTCATTTCATTAATTAATTTATTAAGTTCATGTAAATTAGTGTAATCAGTTATTACAAAAAATTATTATTAGTACAACACTCAAAAGGTACTATTGAAAAATAAGGATTCACAATGATGACCCGAAATAATCAGGATAAAACTATTGTTTATAATAATCTCTGAACCTTCTGCTGTATTAACATTTGGCTGAGAACTTTCACTCATCTGTTTCTCCTTTTGTCTGTTATTAAAAACTTATGCAGGTTGTTTAACATTCATCCATGGTTTTCGTTATAAAAATATTAAACTTATTTCAAGCATATTCTGTTCATTTTATTATTGTTGATTGGGATCAATTTTAATTTTTTTGTTTTTATTTATATTTTTGTGTTTCCTTTGTTTTTAAATACATATTTGTTTAATGTGTTTTTAACATATTCTTATTTTTTATTTTAAAAAATAAATAAACATATTTTTTAAAATACTTTCTAAAGGACCGTTTGAGTTCACTTTTGATTTTGATTTTTAATTTTAATTTTAATTTTATTTTGTATATATTTTTATTTAACATAAAATATATTTGATATGTTATAATATATTTAGTTATTTTTAAAAATTTATAAAAACACTCGAGTGTTTTTAAAAACAACTAACCAATGTTATAACATATCAAATATGTTTCATTTTAAGTTGTTTCATTTTAAGTATAAATATAAACAAAACAAAACAATAATCGAAATTGATCCCACACGGCCCTTGAACAAATATGCTTTTAAAATAAAAACAAAAATAAGCGTGATTCAGACTAGCCTAGCTGACATGTTTCCTGTTTTCTGTTGCTTTTTTGTTCTGAATATTTCCCCATTAAATCAGGGGCGTTGGCTTCTTGAAGTATTTTGAAGTGAAGCAGCTGCCCAATTTTCTTCTCGCATCTCCCATACTCACCATTTCCATTGCCTCGGTTATTTATTATGCAAGTTTACTGCAGCAAAGTCTTCATTCATTCAGAATTACTTCTGATCCACATGGGAAAGATCATTCTGGAGAACTTATTTCTTCAGATAATAGCTCTACTTCTTTGGAGTTTAAAGGTATTTCTTCCCTCAATTTCATGCTAAAGAAGTTGCTTGAGTAGCTCTGGGGAATATTTTCATACATAACACACAATTCAAATAATTTTTTTGCATAGCTAACACCTATACTATCATATTTGCATAGATAACACTCAATTTTTTGAAATAACTTCTAGAGTATTATGAGCCTCCAGTCTTTTGCAAAATGGAATAGAGGTTTCATTTCAATCCAACCTTAATTTGCAGGTACAATGAGGCCTCTACGGGCGGGTCACTCCTACTTCAGAATAGAAATATAGAAAGAAATGGGATTCTAAATCATCTTTTGTCATTCTCGCGTAAAAAAATACCACTACGACTAACTTTCTAAATGAGAGAAAAATCTTTTCATGCTTATATTTTTTAATACCATAGCGTTATAAATGTAAATATCAAAATTTAGGTGATAGAAATGTGAATGCATGAGAATTATGGTATGTATGTAAATTTCCCTATTTATTCCCCTCTTATAATGAAAGAATCTGTCTTCAGAAACAGGGAATCATGATTTGCGAAGGAGGAAAAGTGGGAATAAACCAATGTCTTCTAAGAATTCTCATTTTGTGGAGCTTGAAATAGATTCCTTCATCAAATTTAAAAAAGGATACTGCTCCCTCTTGATCTTTCCATTCATTCTTCATCTGGGATTCATGTCATTCATGGCACTCTTTGTAATGCACGTTCAGGTCAGAAATTTATATTACTCTGCCAAAATTTATTTCCTTGCAATTAATTTATAAAATCTACTTATGATAGATTTAGATACACACCACTCAATTCCCATGTATTTTCATATCTAACACCTAAATTTCTATTTTTTTAACATACATGTCACCTTACCTATACATGAAACGGCATATTTCACGTTTTTTAAAGTTAAAATAATGATATTTTTGATGTGATATGAAAGACTGAGGCGATGTAAATGTAAAAGGTAAAGTTAGATATGCAGATACATAGGAACTGGGTGATATGTATGTAAATACTGCCGCTTTACTTAGATATCAAAGTCTCTAATTTCTCAACTTTGTTTTGTTAGATTTAGGGGAGTTTCTTTGTTTATTTCTTGCACTGTACCATTGTGTAAATAATGTAAATTTCCTGTACCTATCAGTAATTTTTTTTCCCCCCTTTGTTTCAAGTGATATTCTATTCTTGCAGGTGGCTACAAGATTTTTGTCTGCCAGCCCACCTATTTACTGGTTTGCTTCATATTTACTGCTCTCTCCAGGCACAACTTCAAGAAGAATTGGTTATTTGATTTGGTCATACTCCATTGCTTACATTCTTCTTGGTAGCCTTCTCTTCTCAAATTTCTACCCATTCACATGATGTATGGTTAGAAATATGGGGCATTTACATACATACCACCCAATTCCTATGTATTTACATTTCTAACACCAAAACTTTATTATTTACGCTAAACTATTTATATGGGGTTATGTTAGTCCTAGAGTTATGAAAGTGCTAAATTAGTCCCCAAACTTTTTTTTAATGTTTTAAACCATATCAAAATATATATATATATATATATATTATATAGAAAAAAAAGGTGAAATGAAGCTTTTCATGCTGCGGAGATGTGTTATAAATGTAAAAAATAGAAGTGTGGGTGTTAGATATGTAAATTCATAGGAATTTTGTTTTATGTATGGCTTTTGCTGTTTCTGAAGCCTGAAAGTAGAGGAATGTCTTATCGCCGAGAGGCTTTTTGACATTCTGGATTGCATTAATTTGGCTGTCAGATAGGCTGTATGATTAGTTGAAACAGTGGGTGCTATGCATAGAACTAATTGTGAGATATTGTCATGTAATATAATATGTTTTTTTTTTATTTATGTATTATATTATTTGAAGTACAAAATGTTTGAATATGAATTTTTTTAAAATATATTAGTTTTTTTAGTTTTATTTGAAAAAAAAAAATCAATCCATAATATTTCATATATAATTGCCATAATTGTGGAATATGAAAGCTCAACATAACAAATTAGTAGTTTAACAAGTTACTTCTATACACATTTGCACAAATTTAAATCATGTAATTTGACAACTTTTTAATGAGTCAATTCTATATTTTATATATATGCGGTAATGTTAAATAAATACAATATTTTAACTAAAACTTTGCTATTTACATACATAAATAGAAAATAGAATAAAAAATATTTAAATTTTATTTAAATTAATATGTTAATATAAATAAAAAGTTTTAATTATCGCCCTATCATTAATATCATATGGCTGTGTGATTAGAGTTGTCAAAATAACTTATTGTTTGGAAGGCTCAATTAGCAAAAGATTGTTAAAAATTTGGTCTAAATTATATTTAACGGCTAGTGTGAATAAATAGAATGATTTAGAAAATAGATAATAAGTCTTCACACTGGGGGTATTATGTAAGTATACATATCGTTTTAAGAAATATAAGATTTTCTTTAAAAATCTCTGTATCCATACCACAGGGAAGCTGTAACTTTTTAATAATGACTTGGAAAAATTTCTATTGATGTCAAAATTTTTGCAAATGATTAAAATTAAATTCACGTGCAATCTAAATTTAAAAAGAAAGTATGAACAATGTTTAAAAGACTAATAAAGTTTAAAAGAATTTGAATATAATGAAAAGATCTTTCACTTGTAAAGAGATCTTAATCAGTTTAGGAATTGAATGATTAAAAATATAAAATGTTGTATTACAATAAATAGAAACATGCCCATTCTTTACCCCCTCTCGGTGCTAGCAAAAAATATTGGCTAACCTTAAGCTTGTTCGAGCTTGTGTAGTAGTGTTGAGTAGATTCTAGCCTCCCACTTCTAGAATACCATTGTTCTCTCCCTATATAACCTACTAGGAACCCTTAGATCCAAACTCAAAATTGAATTGATAAAAGAATCTAGCCTGTCACCCTAGAAACATCAATTCTAGACCCATCAAAACTTATCTCCCTATCTAATTGCACTCTCACTTGGATGATCACGATGACTCTTTCTAAAGTTAAGTGTGATACTCACTAGTTGGTGAAATCATAGCCCTCCTGGGTTATTATATTTTGCGACGGATTTTAACATTAGAAGTGATCGGTTTGAAAAGTAAATTATGGGCCGGTAAAAATACAATTACAATTTTATAAAATAAAAAGAAATATTTAAACCATTCTTGTCCCACATGATTAATTCTCATATGCAAGGACAAAGAAAGAAAAACTGCTCATAATTCATGGAGATAAAATAAAAACACATGATTTGTATTGAAAGTCAAGTCTTAACAATAAAAACTCAAACACAAATACAAATTACTTATCTTATGTCTTCTTCAAACAATCTCCAAACTCTTCTTCAAACAATCTCCAAACCCTTCTTACACAATCAAAGACTCACAAATATGAACTTATGCACCCTCTAAAACTATCTAAACGTCCTCTAAACACACACCAAAACTCTCTTTTTTGTTCAACCCTTGCTCCCTTTTAATAGATCTCTGAAAATAACTAAGGGTCACTTCAAGCACCCCTTCAAAATTCGGTCAAATTTAATGTATCTTCTAGAGAAACCATTTATGGCACGATGACGCCTCTCTGGGGAGCTATGGCGCCCATCACGTCAAATAGCTGGCTCTATGGTGCTAAGAACTGGCGCTATGACGTCATATAATGTTGTGTCATTTTGCTCCATTTTGCTCTCATTTTCTCTAAAGATTTATTCATTGTACCTGAAACCAAAAACATGCAAAATACATTCTTTAAAGTGTAATATCATAAAAAATGTGCATTAAATGAACATTAAATGTCTATTAAAATAGGAAATTTTAAGGTGTATTACTTGGTAGTATTATGGTTGTATTTTGTTGGTCTTCAGGTGTTATTCATGAGGTATTCCTGTGGTATTATGGAGGTATTCTTATAGATTTTTGGTAGTATTACAGTGGTATTATTGTGGTATTTTGGTGATAATTTGGGTGATATTTTGGTAGTATTTATGTGGTATTCTTATATTATTCTAGTAGTATTATGATGATATTTTGGTGATATTTTGTTGATATTTTGGGTGGTATTCTGGTGTCTTGATGTGGTATTCTTGTGGTATGATGTTGTTATTCTGGTGTTATTTTGATGGTATTCTGGTGATATTTTGGTGGTATACTTATAGTTTTTTTGTGGTGGTGTTCTGATGTTATTTCGAGTGGTATTATGAAAGAACCACAAAGTTAATGTTTTCAAACAATAATGCATGTACCAAATTATAAATTATGGGACATCAAAATTATTTATTTCCAAGGACAAAAGATAATGACAATCATTTTATCCCAACAGAAACTCTTGATTAAAATTATTTGTTCACAATAACAAAACATATTCTTTCATTTAGTAAATGAAATTCATCATTAAAATAATATAAGTTTCTACTGGTTCTGGTGCACTTGAGGATGTGAAGAGCACCAGTAACTTTAAATTATTCATCAACAAAATATTATAAAAAAAAATGTAATATGAGTTTGATATATGTTCATTCTTACACAATTGTATTAATATCATACCTCTATGACAAAATCCAGTCTTATAGAAAAACGGGTAGAAATTGAAGATATATTATGTTCTTCATTTGATATAGGTTCATTTCCTGTGATATGAAATGTAATAGTTAATTAATTGTTAACTAGTAAGTGATAATGAAAAAAATTAAAGATTCATATGATATAGTTTCATTCTACAAAACAAAATATAATATTTACTTTTAGCTATCTTCTTTTTCTCTCAATGTCCATTTAACCTAGCATTAGAAATACCCTTTGGTCTCATCTTGACTGTATCACTTAGTTTTACAGTGTTTTCTTTCTTCTTGGTCTTTCCTCTCTTTAGACTGTTAATCAATTGAGAGATTTCCTGCTCAATATTGAGTCAACATCAACAAACATTTCTTTCAGAGAATCTAGTACATACTTTTCAGCCTCTTCATTGTCTTGGGCCTTGATGCTTATTTTATATGAATATTTATGGATGTTGGTCTGAAATATCAAACCACTTGAAGAACTATTCCTCAACTTTAAATCTTTGAAATTTTGATAAGCATTTCTAAATAGAAATCATGTTTGGCACTTGAAGATCGTCGCATTACAAAATATTTATCAGGAATCCTTGCCACATTTCCTTTGTCGATAACTCTTATGCAATTGGCATACAATAACCCCATCACCTCAAATTTCTTGCAACTACAACTTATATCAAAAGTTATTTTGTCAAATGCAACTATCCAATAGTTATTTGTTCTTATATAATCCAAAATTTTAATGTAATATTCTGAATTACTTCTATCATATTCTTATACTGCATGCCCACTGACATCATATAAAAATTTTTCCTAAAAAATGAGTATATATTTCTTGTATAGAATGCATCAGTCTGCCTCAACATAATGTTGCTTTTAGCAACTAGAACAACTGAAGATTAAACACATTTGAAGTCCTCGTCTATCTAATTTCATCTCCATATTTTCACGACATTTTCAAGTCCCAAAAACAATCGATGATGGAGCTTTTAGGCTTAAAAATACAATAGAAAACATTATTTGTCATTTCACTTTGTTATGTGGAGAGGACTCCCAAGCAAACTAAATCCTTTTTAAATATTTTGGACCACCTCTTCTGAATGTAATACAAATCATGTAACCAATCATTATCGTAGATGTTCCCTTTTTGAAGCATCACTACCCATGTTTCTTCGAACTCTTCTTCTGAATCACATTTACTCATACATGTATAAATCAAATCACTTCTATTACCAATGGAACAATGAACCTTTGTAGGTAATTTTTTGAATATGTCATTAGCATAATCTATGATTAGTGTGTGTGGAAATTATTCTCTTATGCTTCTTGTTATTTCTTGATCCTAGTCGACGAAGATTGTTAATGGATGTTTGTCACCCATTATCTGAATAAATGTCTTGAATAACCAATTGAAAGACTCAATAGTCTCATTGGATAAAAAGCCAACTCTAAAAAGGTCATTTTGATGTTGGTGGTTTATCTCAATAAAAGGAGCACCAAAAAAGTTATATTTATTCAATTGATAAATTGTATAAAAAATTATGACATCCCCGACGAGTCATAAGCAACCCTTGACATGCCATTGCTCCAAAAAAGCTCATCAACCCACCTAATTCATTAGTCTGGAAATCCCATGCAAACATACTATCTTCAGCTTACCTCTATGTGAATAATTGAATTAAAACATTGGTGTTGCCATTCTCAATCCTCATTCTTCTTTCCTTTTGAAAAAAAAATTGAATGCATCTCTTCTTTAAAATGTCAAATTCTTAACTCCACCAACTTTCATTGTAATAAAGTCGAATGCATCAGTAGCTCCAATACCTTTCTTTCTTCTATCATTAGTGTGAGCACATCTCCATTAATTTTGCTAATGCTTCAACTAGATCTCAAGAGATACTGGTCATCTGGCTCAGCTAGGGAATGGTTATGAGTTTCTATAAAACGTTTGACCCTCTAATTACCATTAACATCAACGTCATATCAAATATAGCTAGACAACCTGCCCTAGTCTCTGCTCTTTTAAACTTCACAGTGTTTTTGAGAGGTTATTCCATTTTAAAATTGGCTTTACCACATAAAAAATCTCTACTTTTTTATTTTCTTTGAGTTTGGAAAATAACCGGCATGACCCTTTCGAACAATAAATCCAATATGATGTGAATAACCACAATATAATTTATATGCATAATTTTAATTATGCACAATGGTGTCAAGCAAAAAATCCACAATTGGATTATTATCCACATTACTTGACTCACTAAACTAAGCATGTGTGCATATTTTTCAAGAAAGTGTAACCAAAAGGGTCTAAAATAATATAAGATTAACAACAATCATACAGTACTACCAAAAAAGCAACTAGTAAACATCCCTAAAAGCTAAAAAAATGCACCAATAAATAAACATACTACTATTAAAAAACCACAGTTTAATAAATAAAATACCACCAAAATACAACCCTTAAACAACCAGAATACCCCAAGTATAGCACCAAAATACCATAATAATACAAACTAAAATACAACCAAAATACCAAAAGAATACCATAAAATACCACTAGAGTACCACAATAATATTACCAGAATATCACTAGAAAATCACCTAAATACCACATGAATATCATCATACCACAATAATATTACAACAATATCACTATAGTATCACAATAATACCACAAAAATAACACCAAAATATCACTAAAATACTATAAGACCGTCACTAAAATTTCATAAGAGTACCACAATAATACAACTATAATATCACAATAATACAACCTAAATATTTTGGTGGTATTTTGGTGTCTTGATGTAGTGTTTTGGTGGTATTATGGTGTCATTGCGGTGATATTTTGATGATATTGTAGTGGTTTTCTTCTGGTATTATTGTGATATTATTGTGATATTATATTGATAATTATTGTGGTATAATGGTGATATTCTGGTGTTACTCTTGTGGTATTCATGTGATATTTTGGTGATGTTCTAATGATATTCTTATGGTATTCTAGTGATATTGTAGTGATATTGTGGTGGTATTACAGTGATATTATTATGATATTATATCAATATTATTTTGATATTATGGTAGCATTTTGGTGTTATTTATGTGTATTATAGTGATATTATTGTGATATTATGGTGATATTAATGTGATAATTTGTTGATATTCCAGTAACGTTCAAGTAATATTCTAATGATTTTTTGGTAGTATTTTAGTGGTACTGAAGTATTCTTTCGATGGTCTTTTGGTTGTATTATAGTCAAAATTTGTCTTCTATCTATTTTATTTTTTCTCATAAATGAATCAAACAATGGCTCCTCCCGTGAAATAAACAAAAGCACCGGAAGATTTTCTTACTAAAAATAACACCCAATTCATGTGTATTTAATACACCTTTTAATACATTAATAATATATATATATATATATTCAAGAACTACAAAAATACTAGGTTTGGATAAAACAATAGAAATCCATACCAAAAGTCAAATTAATTGAAACTATAAACAAAATTTATTAATCGAAATACATCGAGCAAACTCTAATGAATGTTACCATTTTAGATGCAGTGAAACTTACCTCCGTTCCATTATCGTCACCAAAATCTTTGTATTCCATCTTAAAAAATGCTATGTTATAATGCTCTTCAGAAGTAGCAGAGAAATATTGCCTAAATCCTAGAAAAAATCCTAGATGAGAAAAAAAAAATAAACAGTGCTCGGCTATGAACAGTGCCATGTTTTGAACAACAGAAATTTTTTTTGAGGTATTCTGGCGGTCTTCAAACTGGGTCACATGGAAAATTGTATTTTTAACTTTTTAAAATGGTGAAAATGGGGCCCATCACTTTACAAATGATGCAATCTTATTGAAGTTCAGACGCAAAACTGTGTTCGGACTCCAGACAAAATATTTTCTTGTATCCTATAAAAGCCCAAGTTTTAGAAAAAGTAGGATCCATCCTAGGTGGGGCCCACCAATCATGTTGCTCATGAAAAACTTGAACTCAACTTGAATCTAAAACTAAGACTAAAATTTAAAATGTATCTCTAAATTAGTAATCATTTAAATTAAAATTACAAAAATGGTAAATCTACCCCTGCCTTAAAATTAATTTTGACTGCTAGTCCAATAACATATATATATATATA